TTGCTCCAGGTTGCAACGTCACCTGCTGCTGTGAAGAAATGAGAATGTTTTCTTGCTAAAATCACATGCGATAGTGCAAGAGTGGCCCCCTGACATAGCAATTTTCAACATGGAGATAAAATCAGGGGAATCTCCAGGCCCACATGTCTTTCTACGTCTTTTGTAGCCCAGACTGGTAGAAACTCTGTTAGCCACGGAGGGGAGAAACGCTATCTCCTGGGGGAATTTCTGTTTCCTATTTAGGTAGATCATTCTTGCACAAGCAAGCAGCAAGGGGGAAAGGAACACAATATTAATAATAAACAAATATATAGTTCGCTGGATTGCTCCGAATAAGAAATCAGTAGCGTGGTGGTCTTGCCAGAGTTGGAGCTGGAGGACTCACAGGAGCAACTGTGCGTGCGCAGGGGGGAAGAGGGTGGGCGTCTATCTACCTGAGCTCAAGGACCTGGTGCACATGCATTCAACTTTTGAACTGACTCGATAAAACATTCTTGTCCCTTTCTTTAGATCGGAGTTTGCAAAAACCTGAAGAATGTTCAGAATGATGAAAAAAAAATATGAGAGAAAACTGAGAAAGATGATTTGGTCCCCTCAGCATTTTCTTTTTTCCTGCTGAATTGACCCATATCCAGGCTTACCATTATTTGGCTAAAAATTCAGTGCCCTGAAGTGATCCTTATCCATGACTCAGATAGGAATTAAACTTCTCAAGAGAGTGCTTTCCTGACCCTGGAGAATCTGTGTATTCATTTGCAGTTAGACATAAAATTGGGTGCACAGCTGAATTTATTCCTGATATAGAAGCTACCAAAAGATGTCCAATGATATGGCATTACCTCGGGGAAGATAGAGAACAATGAGAATAAGTTGTAAGTAATAAAGGTTTCATGCCATCGAATTAAGAGATACACGTTCCTTCATGCTTCTTTCATAAAAGACCTTTCTTTTGCCCCGACCCTGTGTGCCTGGGCATTGCCAGGGTTGCCGTCTTGGTTTGCCTTCTAGATTTCTCCAAAGGTCGCTGAGCTCCGTCAGTAATTAGTACATTCAGAGTCTCCATATGTAAATTAGCATCTCTGAAGTAATTCTCACATCTTCCCGGCGAGACAGAAAAGGTGCGACTGCTGTTTTTGTTGTTGCCATTCTTTCTGCTTTAAGGCAATGCTGATGTCTCCAAGAGAGACCCCGCAGCCCTCTTTGCTACAATGTAGAGGATTCACCTGCAGATCAGTTAAGTGCTGATATTCTGTTCCTCAGTGACGGGACCTTTGAGGCTTAAGAGAAAACTATTGATTCCTTTCTGAGAAATAGAACATGCTCCTCTGTCCGTCCTTTGAGGAGGCTTAGGATAAAATGTCAAATGCCTGTCCTTTTTGAGAAATGTTGTGCGTTCAGGAAATCACAAGTTACTGAGCATACCATTTTCAAACCTTGACACTCTTTAAAGTTAGGCGATATTCTGCTCACGCAAACATGCATTTCTATAGCATTATTATAACTGCTAAGATGACTCTGTCATTGCAACTTAGATTTTTTTTTAAATGTCCTCCTGTGGTTTCAGACAAGAGGTATAGGAAGCATATATTTTAAATACCCAACTTTCTGCCAAGGTAGCAGAAATAAAGCAGTGAGGAGTAAAGTTGAATGGAAGCTTTAAATTGTCATACACACTCCGGAGATGCACGGTTACCATGGTGATGGGAGCTAGGTAAATACATAGAAAGACTGACTGACAAATGGACGAAATAAAATCTTGTTTCCAAAGGCACATCTAATTTGCTATTTTTTTAATGAGCATTTTCTATTGTCTTCCATGAAGAGAAATACAACATTAGAGCCATTTAAAAATTCATTAGGGTTTCAGAATTATTAGTTAATTTATTCCAAGTGGAAAAGCACACGATTTGGTCCAATGTGATCACTTTCAAGTGGCAGTTTGTTGTGTAATCTCAGTCTGAGAACTGCAAGGAACCTTGACTTGCTAATGGCCTGTGAAGAGGAGAAAAGTGCCCCTGGGATGTTGAGAAGGCGTGATGTCCCCAGGGCCTTTCCTGCCACTGTCAAGAGCTGGGATCTGACTTAGGAAAAACCGACCACTCACAAAGACCTCCACGGACCGGAACCTCTGGTCCTGTCATTGCCTCTGCTTAAGAACTTAATGTTCGATTTAACATCCTTAAACAAGACTGTGATTCGAAAGGTTCTGCCACACTTTACGTCGCTGAAAGTGGATATCAGAATGTACTTTCAGATGAGATATTTCCTTGTTTGGAGAAACACATCTCCCTAAAGAACTCTATGTGCTTATGAAAAAAAATCATCAGGACCTTCAGTGTTCGGAGCAGTGGGTCTCAGCAACCTGATGGGCAGGATGAGGGCCGAGGGGGCCAGACCCTGAGGAGCCCAAGCGAAGGGCACTGACCTTATGCCACCCGTGTTCATTACACTTTCACCCGATGTAACTCTCTTGTGTTGTCCTCAAGACAGAGCAAACGCTGATCAATTAAAACACCCTTCTGTAAAGTATATTTGGGGCTAAGAGGAGAATGTCGGCTTCCTTAAGCAGAGTGAAGCAGGAAAGGAGCCATGGTAGCAGCACGGAGAACTGAGGACCAAGGAGCCAAGTGTCCCAGTGGGAGACCTCAGTCTCACAGCAAGAGAATATTTGAATAAATAATGCCTACATATGGAGTTAAAAATCTCTATGAAGTTCTAAATTATTTCCAGGTAACACTCTGCAGGAGCTAGCTAGGATGGCTTGAGATAGATAGATAGATAGACAGACAGATAGATGGATAATAGTTATAAATCAGTAAGAAGTTTATGGTAATAGCAGGTGATGATTTTAGAAGAAAACAGCTTTAAATATTTCCGTAAAATGATCTTCCAAAATCTTTACTGGCATCTGATTTTATAAAGGTGTTGTTCCAGTCAACTATTAGCAAGTCAAGAGCTTAATGAAATGATTCAATATTATCTCCATTTTTAAACTCTTTCTTTTTTGGGGGGTAACTAGGCTTATTTATTCAACTGTTATAATTTTTTAAATGGAGGTACCAGGGACTGAGCCCCGTGTACGCTAAGCATGCGCTCTACCACTTAAGCCGTGCCCTCTCCTTTACAGAATGATTAGAAACCTGTATCCTGATGTCAGGTGTGAGTTTCTCTTGTTTTTCTTTTTTGTTGTTGTGTTTTTTCATCTCATATAAAGATTTGCATTATTCTGGGCAGAAATTCAAAGGTTGATCAAAATAAAGTCCTTGCCACCGAGAAGTTTAGAGTTAGCTGTGTGTGTGACAGGATGAACACGGAGGTAGACGGGAAACATAAATAACTATATTAAGAGAAGAACATGGTGAGAGTCAGGGGTGATGGCATTTGACTAGAGACCTCAGGAGGGAGAGATGAAATCTGATTGTGTCACAGAAGATGTCAGGGTAGAGTTTCAGGGATGGTGCAATGGCATTGTCTACCATTGATTTCAAGTCACAGATAATTGAAGAGGAAAATAATGTAGATAAGAGGACACTTTTCAGTCGTCAAAAGTGTTAATTCTGGAATTTTCCTTTCTAAAAGAAATCTTGGAAAAATCAACCAAAATTTTAAAAAAAGTTTGGAATCATTTCATACATTTTAAAAGTCTTTGTTTTTATACATTGAATAATTCATAATTGACATCTGAAAAACTACTTATAGTAGCTGTAATCTCTGAAGAAGATCAGACAAGACACCTCACTGACCCTATACCCTATTTGCACACAAGATGATTCAGGACCAGGATGGCACATTAATAGGAGCAGCACTAGATCCACATTCATCCAACCACCTCTGAAGCCCATGCTGAGTCTTATGCAGCCTATTAATACTGTCATCGTCCTTTCTCATTGATCTGTTATGTCCATCTAACTTACATCACTCAAATCTATTTTCTGTAAAAATGTGGTGCAAAACGCACAATGAAAGAAACAGATACAAATAAGTTTGTTTTTTTTAATGGCTTTACTGAGACATACTGCACACACCACACAGTTCACTCATGTGAAGTGGACAATGCAGTGTTTGCAGTGTATTAATGTACATGTGCACTGTCACCCCAGTCCATTTTAGAATATTTTCACCATCTTTTATCTATCCCTCCAACCCCAGTTCATCATTGCACCCAGCCCTAAGCAACTGCTAACCTGCTTTCTGTTCCTGTAGATCTACCTTAATGGGCATTTCATGTAAATGGAAGAATATAATTATTAATTTTATTTCCATTTTATAAATTAAAATATACATACACTCAAGAGAAAGAGGTTGAGTACATTTCTAAATGTCGCAAATCTCCTGACAGTGTCAGGACTTGGACACAGGCAATCTGATTCCAGATCACTGGTTTTAATTATTATGTCAGGTGCTACAACACCACCATGAACATCAAGAAAAGATGGGCAGGAATTGAGATTCACTGAATATATATCTATTAAGGGTACGTTAGAGGATGAGTTATTTACATTATTTGTATTTACACACATTACTCTTCCAAATTTTGACCCATCTGGTAAGCTTTGATCTTGTTAGTCATACAAGTGCTGTCATAGCTCAGAATACATAATTAGTCATTTTTCCTTCAGGAATTACACTTTTCCAGAAAACTCGCCACACACTACAGGGAGTGAAATCTAAGTATTGGCTCCAAGAGTAGCAACATTATCTAATCCAGACAACAAAAGCAAGCTTGTCACTGATCGTGGTGGCATTAGTCATATCCACCCAACAGACACTTCCCACCAGTACTGCTGATAGAGCATATGCGGCTTCCAGGAGCAACTTAAATACCTGCTACTGAGACCTACGTGAAGAGTTTACTTAGGAGCTAAGGACACAACCTATTTCTAGATTATTCAGTGAGATATAGTCATTATTACAGGAGACGCAGCGTTGAGATAAATGCAGTCCTTTTCTTTCGTGTGCACACAAACAACTAAAACATGATTGGCAGGCAGAGGTGGTCGGGAGGAATAGCTCAGTGGTAGAGCACATGCTTATCAAGTAGGAGGTCCTGGGTTCAAAGCTCAGTACCTCCATTAAAAAAAATCCATAATATTTTAAGTACGATAAATCAGAATGAATCAGGTGCTACAGGAATTCAATGGAGAGAGAGAAATCCTGATTGGGCAAATCAGAAGAGCCCTAATGAAGATGCTAGTTTTGTGGCAGGAGGGTACATACAGAGGAAGCATTTCAGAAAGCAGGCCCGATACGTGCGGAAAGTGCAAACGTGCAGAGGGGGATGGCCAGGCATGGCCTGGCTCATGACTGGTACTTAGAGCGCGGTACTTAGAGTGGATGTTGAGGATGGAAGAGCTTGAAGGTAGGATCCCGGGAGACTCTGTTTAAAACCATGTTGCTAATCACGTGAAGGTGACACCACAGCGAACGCAGCCAGGTAGAGCTGTTTCCCACTCTACAGCCTCCTTGTGTGTAGTCAACAAAGGTCACAAACTTTACTTGGTTGTGGGTGATACCAGATAATGATACACAAAATCATTCTTGGTATAAACTAGTGTCCACTTACTAGGGTCACAAAGACCTGTGAGAAGGGTTCAGTCTACTTGTCTTACTAGGAAAAAAAATTGTATTTAAACAAACTGTAAAATAGTGAAAACTCCTCTAAGCAAGAAAATTAACCAATGTCGTCTCTGATTTAGCTGAACACCCAATGCACTTCATTAACCACCGTGTATTATCAATAGGTATATATGTAAGAAATGCCAAAATAAATTAGATAGACTGATAGAATAGAATAGTCTTTGTTTTTTGCTTTTTATTTTCTGTATACTTTTTAATGCCCAAGTTAAGAGAAATGTGCTTATTTTATCTTATTTTTAAAAAATTCTTGTATGGAGGAAAAAACAGGAAAATATTGTTTCTCCTAATTTCTGTTTTGTCTTTTTTTGGCTTTTAGCTATTGGCCATGTTTTTAGGCATGATTTTTTGCTGCTTAATAAAAAACTCACATAGGTATATATTTTACAATGTAATTTTGAAAGCTATCCACACGTGTGATTTAGTTTCAAAGAAAATGATCACGAAAGATAAATGATCAAAGTAAGTTTTATTTTTACTGTTTGAGAGGACACTTGATCAACTAAAGTCTACTGCTTTTACTGTAGAGGCGTTTGCTGTAATATTTATTCTTTTTTTTCTGTTTTAATACCAAGACTATTTGATGCTGGGAAAGAGAATAAGAAGAAAAATGTTTCTTAATGCCCATTTAAAAAGTGTAACTTTTCAGTGGTAAGGAGTATTTACTTTTCTTTCTAACTGAATCACCAGGACATTCATAGAGCAGATGGTAATAGAAACCACCATCATTAATTTCTGTATTAGAACTATGCAGGGAGTAAATTATTTTTGGATAATTTGAAAGGTTTTCTTTCCAAAAAAAAATCTATGTCTATGCAACATGTTTGTTTATAGAGATTTTCTGATTAAGTAAAATGTATTTAAGTAGAAATATATTCATATGCATATGTATGTATGTAACCACTGGACTGGTCCTGCTTATGAGAAATAAAAGCTTATACACTGAAGAGACATGGCTTTACAATGTGAAACTAACAGTGATAATTTCAGCCTTCCAGACCTGCCACCGCCTTTCATAAGGTGATCCAAGGATTTGGGAAGGCAGGTTGATCCCATCTTTGCTATTCATGCCAACCATCAGTTTAAAAAAAGTTTTGAAAAAGAGGTGCCAGATGACTGGAAATAGACAAAAGTTTAATGGAGTTCAGAAATGCATCAGAATAATCCTGGAATATATTGAGCATTAAACCATTAGCCTTTAATCATCATTGTCACGGGACTGTCTGCCTCATTGCCATTCTAATTATTCCAAAATAGTCTTGAAATATCCAACTTCAAAGCATTAAAAATGTGAGTAAATCACTGGAAATTAATCTTAGTTTATTTTATATTATAACAATAATGGCATAAAACAAAACATTTTTGTTTGAAAACATTAAACTTACATATTTTGTACTAGGAAGTTGATATTTCCAACATGTTTAAAAGCATTATTTTTCAAGGTATTCTGGGGGGTTTACATAATAAAATAATTTTGGGACAAGCCCCATGTCATATACCAGTCTTGGATAATAACTGCACGTGGAAAGTGATGTCTTAAAATTATTTTAACAATAAGCCAATTTTCACATTTAAAAAGAAGCAATTAAGTCAGAATTGACCTTGCACTTTGGGAAACAGTAATCAAAACAAAACCTGAAATCTTAAATCAAATGATGGAAATAGTTTCTTAGTAAAAAAAATGTGTGTGGATTGGATTGCAGTGTTCTCAAGTAACAACGGGTTGCTTAATTTATTCAAAATATGTTCTTTATAAATAAATTTATTCAAAGTATGTTCTTCATAAACAAAATGCTGAGTAAAGCATGATGACAAATAAATATCCAAACTCCCCTCCCCCAAAAATAGGCGGAAAAGAGGAGGCTGTGAAAGATGATGGGAAGTTGGCAGTGCAGATTTTAAATCTTAGATTTTAAATCATCGCATAAAAGCAACACAATTAAATAAAGAACTAAAAACTGATGTTCTGTCTTTTGACAAAACTAATTGTCAGGGGATCCCACAAAGTACAATATACCAGGAAGCGAGGACACCACCGGTCCTGCGTGGCTGGGCAGATCCGACGCCTGTCGGAGGAGGCAGAGGGCAGCAGCGGGGAATCTGATGAACGTGAAGTGGACGTGAGCCTGGGCAGGTTCGGTGCCTCCCGGGGCGGCCTGACAGCAAGGATATGAGCCCGGGCTGAGAGCGACACTGAGCGTGAGAGGGCCGATCAGAGGAAGGGAAAGGAGGAGCGGAGAGAAACAGGGACAAAATCTTGGAAAGGAAGCCACTTGTTTTTCAACACTAAAGTAAAAAGAAAAAAAACCCCAGCGAAATAGAGAGCTTTCTGATGTTTGGAAAACTATACTGAAGCTCATGAAATTGCAGGAAAACAAATCGCATCAAAATGAGCAATTTAAAAAAAGGATCACGGTTGTGGGGATCTAAAGAGGAGCAGCATGTTCACCTCAGAGGGACGCACGGGCCCCCCCAGGACGGGACCACGGTCGGGGGGGTCACACGGTGAGAGGAGCCCCCCGCTGCAGCAGGTCAGCCCCTGGAAACCCGTCTGCCTCAGAGCACAGTGGCTGCTCTGTCCATTAACTTTTGTGTCTCGTACAAATTTCTATTTATCCCAAACCTAACTTGGAAACATAAAGGGGGACATATTTGAAGGGAAAAGTTCCAGTTTAGCTCAGTTGCCTCAAGAGGAAACCACCAAGGCTGTATGTGCATTCAGCACCCATCCTGATTACATTTCTCTGCGTTCAGTGGCAGCAAACCAGCACAAGGCGAAGGATAATCCCTTGAATGGGAGAAGGAGATTCTGAAAATGGAAACACGAAGCCGTTTTCGAAATGACATAGGACGTGCATAGTGTACTCGGCGAGTTAGGAGAACCTGCTCTTCGCAGATAGAAATAGCATCACGAGGGAGGAACAAGTTAGTATAAAGGGGGAGGTATAGAACGGAAGAGAGGAGGGGAGGAGAGGGGTGGGGAGGAGAAGGGAGGAGAGAAAAGGGGCTTCCTGAACCAGGAAAAAAGAAAAATGTGTTTTCCAGTTGTCTTCAGACAAGCTGTACTTAATGGGCACTCTGCAGTTCACCATTAAAATAGCCCTGGGAGAATAATAAACAAACAAAAAGACAAAATTGGCAATCACTTAAAACTCTCAGAATTCAGCGTATCCTGGGGAAATGCCTGATTATTATGTGTGGGAGGAAGGGGGCTTCCTCTAACAGGACAGTTGCTTTCTTAGACTAAGATGCACCATCCTCGGAAAGTGAACAGCAAAATGTGCCCCCAAAGGAAAGAGAACACTTAGACTCTTGCCCATTGAATATTTCAATGCTTATTATCCAGCAGCTGCACTGAATAGCCATTCTCCATTTGCAGGAGAACAAAGGACCTGGGCCAACCAGAGCAGAGAAGGTATACGTTAGAACGATTTTTCCATGTCTGTTTAGAGATGAAAATACCTAGTCTTCAACACCACTAGGATAAAGACAAATCAAGTGGCATCACAGTTATATCTTGAAATGAATAAAAATCCTCAGGAGTAAAACCTTGAAGACAGAAATGGGGATACTAAGAGACCTAGAAGCTAATGGTTAATGTATTCCATGCATTACACTTAGAAGTGCAGATCCGATCTCTCTCTTTACCATAGTCAGGGAACCAAAAAAATCAAGAAAGATGTGGCCCTAAGAGTTACCAGCAGAGCTCCTTCCTGCCAACAGTCATCTCCTTCCATATGTATTTATTTCTAAGAAAAAGAAGCGGTCAGTAATTTACTGAATACTTTAATATAATGACAATAACTGCTTGTTAAGAAATAATTAAAATATTTTTTAATGTATGTCTCCAAGTCCTGTCCCCGATGGGTAAATTTCATAATCGTACCCCCCTAACAGCAGTGCATTTGAACTGTCAATGATAATGTCCTTAAGTTATTATTTTTTTATGGTGTAAACCTTAATTTTACTTACTTATTTTTCTTTTCTTTTTAAAATTTTAATTGTGGTAAAATACACATAACATGAAATTTACCATTTTAACTGTTTTCTCTCTTTTTTTTTAATTGAAGTATAGTGAGTTTACATTGTGTCCATTTCTGGTGCACAGCATCATGTTTCAGTCATACATACACACACATATGTTCCTTTTCATAATCGTCTTCATTATAGGTTACTACAAGACATTGAATATAGCTCCCTGTGCTCTACAGAAGAAACTTACTGTGTATCTGTTTTATATATACTAGTTAGCATCTGCAAATCTCGATCTCCCAATTTATCCCTTCCTTAAGTTATTAATGTAACTCCATGTGCCACGCAGTGTCCCTTGGCAATCCCGTGTAGTTACATATCATGATTTAGAGTCTGGAAACAGCATATTTCCATTGCGAAGTGTAATCAGGACTTCTATGGTTCTTTTATTTTTTAATTTTTATTT